CTGATTAGCCAAATATTGTTTTGACAACAGCGTAGTAATACATGCTCTACTTAAGAGAGTGCAGGAATGAGTTAACTGGTCATAATTTTGTTTACATTCGCTATGTCAACAAGCCAAGGGACTTAGTAAAAGATGGGCCGATCTTCTCTCTTCTCTGTCTTGTAACTCCTTTATTTTCGGTTAGGGCACTTTTTGCCATAGATGATTTGATTTGATTTGAAAACATTTATTTACAGAGCAGTTTACATGCCCTGTAAAAAGCCAGGGAAAGATGGCCGAGCATCTACCCAATCTGGCTGAACTTATACTGACTTAAGGGCCAAAGTCAAACATTAAGTATACATGCCTGAAGGGCTGCACCTTAGTGCTCACCTTATTTGTTATCTATGTAATAACTGAAAAAAAAACACATATACACGATTTTACAAAAATGAACAATGTTTCAGTAATTCTTGATATTCCATTGTGGTACACTTAAAGTCACTGTGGGCCATCATTTGTCACCTGATTTTCAAGTTCTACAGGTTGTAGAAGGGTAAACCGTTGTCCAAAGAGCACTGAAAACATTTTTTCCTGGAATTGTAATTGTTGAGCAAATTGTTGCTGCATCATGAGCATCATTTGTTCTATTTTCTGCATCAGCATTTGCAGTAGGTCCTGTCTTCCCTGTGGAGTCGGCGATGGCACTAAAGCAGGTGCAGAAGCCGAAACTGCTGTGTGTGCTGAGACATGTGGAGTAGATGTCGAAAGCGATGTCAGTGTTGAAGCAGGTTCTGAAGTCGATGCCGAAGTAGCAGGAGCTGAAACTGTCACTGAAGGGGCTGAAGCAGACCTTGAAGCTGGCGCTGGCGCTGGAACAGGAGCTGAAGCTGGCGCTGGAGTAGGAGCTGAAGCTGGCACTGAAGGGGCTGAAGCAGACCTTGAGGCTGGCGCTGGAGCAGGAGCTGATGCCGATAGTACGGCTGGAGAGATTTTACTTTCAGCATACCTCGCCACATTTATCCTCCCAAGCTGGGGGAATTCGGCCTCATCGTTAAGACGAGGAAATGGCTTGGGATTGCGAGAAGGCAGAACAGCCTGTTGTTTCTTTAGCAATTTGTTTTTTCTATCGTTCGGATAGTATGCACATAATGGAGAGTTTGCATTATGTTCAAGTCTGCAATTGGCACATTTCCTTGGGAGTCGATTACCCTGTGCGATTTTTTCGGCGCACTCCCTGCTCCTGTGAGCGGCGCCGCCAGTACCGACAGCGCGGCTCCTCGCGGGGACAGGCGCGTGCCCCGTGCCCCCATCTGGAACAGTTGGCGCAAAATGGGGTGAGGGATTTGAAGACAGCGCACCTGAAAGGTGCCATGCCCTCCACAATTTTGATGGTTTGGGGGATTTTCTCCCCTTCATAAGTGATAATGAGCCGCTGTGTCATTCTACCGTTAAATTGAATGCGTTTAGCGTGTATAATCTTTTCATTGTATTCGGTGATCTCACTGGTGTCAATTTCCCTCGGGACATCGAACACAACGAGGTTAGTGCAGTGTCCTCTGCCATAAGCTCTGCTCATTTCGAGGATTTCTCCTGCCGCTCCGGTCGTGGTTATACGTTTAAGAATTTCTTCATTCTTACAGCGTACGTAGATATATTTCGACCTAGTCTTAATTCTAGGGCTCCTTTAGTCTTGTTATAAGGAGCCATCTTCAGCACTTGAGACACCCAACGGTATTTGTCCCCATGTGTCACTAGCTTCGTGTCCCTCCTGAAATAGGCACACATATGGCTGGGGGATACAAGTTCTGCAGACTCATTACTCAATTGTCTTTTTGCTTTTTTCTTTGTTCGTTCGTTCTCAGTATTCGTATCACTTGCTGAGATGTCCATCTCCGTCAACAGAGAAAACCCGGCTTGGGTAGCCATTGTATACACAGGTGTTCTGAGGTCAGATCATTCGCTGAAATGTCGCACACAAACAGACCTCACCTATTTACTTGGGTGCGGTTAGCGTAGAGACCGCACAGATTCCTCACATAACTACACATATATCTGGTTTGAATTCATTAATGTTTTTTTCCACTTTCACTGTAAGTAGCTTTGGATCTTCACAGATATTTCATGAACACGCACTCGTTCACTTGAAATCGAAAGGTCTCTATGGGCCCCATTGTCTGGGTGATTTGGCAGACTGAGGTCACACCAGGTCACAGAGGGAAAAAAAGTCACGTCCTCTCTCTATGATGGTTGGTACGGAACTGGTGCCATAGATGAAAAGTCAAGGTAATCATTCCATACCTTTTTTTTTACTAAGTTCCTGATTGTCATTCATTGCAAATTTTGCCCATCTTATAGAGCGTAAGAAACAGGAGGGTCATAGGAGTTATGCTGCGTTCGGAACTGCTCGTCCTGCTCGTCCAGACCAGTTGGACGAGATGTTTTGATCATTTGGAATCTCTACTATCTCATCCTAGACAAGTTGTCCATCTCGTCCTCCTGTGAAGTTGGGCGAGCAGGACGAGATGATGTCACAATAGTTTTTGTAACCACAAGATATTGATGGGTAATTTTATGGCCCTTTATTGGTGTTATCAAAGGATATTTTTGTGTTTCTCAGTTGCAGGCAAGTTAAATATACATCAAAGGAGTTACAAAACCTATGCAGCGTGTGAAATAAAGACACCGGTATGATAAAAAAGTGAATGTTTACATTCGAGCCTGTTGCATTCTGGCCAGAAAGGGTCTTGGAGGTTCTGAACGTGGCCCACTTGTTCTGCTGGTCCTGGACAAGTTGTCTGGACGAGCAAGACGAGGAGTTCTGAATGCAGCATTACTGCCCAGTACCTCCTGAAACTGCCTGGTACCACCTGGGACTGTTCACTGTTAATGAATATACTGCCTGGTATCTATAAATGCATCGTTTATCTTTTTCTTGATAAAACTCTTTATCATTCATAGTAATTAGTATACCAAATTGTAAAAGCAACACCTTTTTGATAAAATTCTTTATTTTTCATAGCAATTAATATACTAGTGTATAAGATTAAAAATATTACATGAGAACATTAGACGAAAAACTTCAAATAATGCTTTTAAAGCTAAGGATTTAAATTCATTCAACAACTCATTACTACGTTATGCCAAGTAGTTCATGTGTTACTACACGTTTGTCAGAATGATATTTGGCTAATTACCAGTGTCTGATGTTTCACATATATGCTTTTAACATCTTTTATTAATGTTATTATACATCCTTTACATGTTTTAAGATTTATTTATACAGTTCTTTACAATAATTATCTTTGCATCTGCGTTTTCATAAGCGTGATGTTTGATGATTCATGGGGACCATTCTGTGACAACATCAGTGAGAAATGTGTTGCATTGATTTTAGGTTATTGCTAAGACTTTACAGTGACAACTATAGACTCCTAAGAATTAGACATTAATAACCATCCTGGTTTGATATATGAGCCCATCAAGTACCCCAAATGCCTCAAAAAGTTATTAGAAACCAAGCAATCCAGACAGTAGAGAGAAGAGAAGGAAAGGTTGGGGTTTTGAGATATAAAGATATTTGGTTTATCCTTTATGGTATGCACACAGCTCTATCTTGCCACATATAACAAGGTGAGGAGAATGTTTCTAGGGGGATGTTGAGGGGTAGAGCCCCTCATCATCCTCCCCTCGGGTATTGCCAGAAGGGCACGCAAAGTCACAGCTACTTGATTGTTGAATAAAGTTTGTGATGTGGAGTTGGGTTGGTTTAATGGTCAGGATGTATTGTACAATTACCTCTAGGGGTTTAGATGTGAATTCCTGTAGATTTTACCTAAAGAGGGTTTCGAGTTTTTCGAAAGCTGGTGCATCGATTCGTAGACTTTCAAATATAACGGGTATGTCTGTAGTTTTCAAAGATAGTGGACATGTCTGAAGAGTTTCACTAACTGATTTTAAGCATTTTCTGCTGTTTTTAAGCATTTTTCTTCTCTGTTTTTATTATTTCAGCCTGTTTTACCTTGTAATTTTCCTGATATACTTCAAGAACTCCCCTGCTATCGGGACTATCAAATCTTTTGCTCTTGTTAATAGATGCTGAAAGAAAAAAAACAGGCTAATGTTTCAAACCTGGAAAGTGAATTATGCACACACAGATGATTTAATATAAGCATTCTGCTTATTTGTATTATCATTATGATCATGATTATAATCATATTTACAATTACAAATACAATTATAACAATTAATTTACAGTTACATGCTTGTGGTTGCTATGGAGGTGAGGGAGGCTTAGGAGTTGGAGACTGGGAGTCAATGCTGGGGATCACCTCTGGACTCAACAAATTCTGCACAGTCTTTTCTTCTCCCCCTTTCTATTTCTTTCTTTATCAACAAGCCCCACAGATTTAAATTCTCCTGATTTCCCAACCCCAAGCTCTTCTTTGACCATGAATCAAAACATTACTACTGCTACTACTCCTTCCTCAATACTTACTATCACCTCAGTCCAATCCAAATCATCCACTCAAGTCATTACTCAACATCCAGAGAACATTCCTCCTCTCCCAGCATCCTCTATTTCATATCCTCCACCCCCACAGCTTTGTTTTTCCTGCTGTATTACTACTATGCAACCTTATTGTCTCCCTAACTTCATTGCTACCTTTCTCAGCATACTCCCTCTTCCAAATGTCCCCGTCCTCCTACTGACTCCATCTCTACAAACCTTTTGGATACTGTTTAGCCCAGCCAGATGGGATAAATATTTTGTAATCCCCCCACAGCCACTTACTCTGATAACACACTCCTCTTTCAGCAATGCTTCCAAAAACAAGAAGGCAAACTTTCCTGATCATTCCCGTCTCATAACAGTTACATCCAAAACCTAAGCAAAATCTTTATCAACCCTACCTGATTTCACTGGCAAACTCATCCCTGCCCTGCCTCATCCTTCCCTCAATACTTGTCCTGGAATTGTCTCCATCTCCCCTACAAACTGCCCTGCCCATGACAAGAATTGGTCTGATTGTGGGGAAGACCTACCTGCCTCCCTTGTAGATTATGATGCAGTATCAGTACAGTGCTTCATCATTTCCCCTAGAGGCTGCCATAAGTTGACTACCAATATTGCCAAGATAATTTTCAAAATAACATAATTACACTTCGTTCATCCTCCAGTCTCTGCTTTTACGAGGGTGCTTCAAAAAGTTTTTGGAAAAGGCCAAAACTAAAAATTGTTTGGAAGGAATTTGATTTCAGTGCGCCTGAACATCCTTGTACCAATGTGTTATAACATGTTCAAACATGAACCCTTAAATGCAGGTAAGAATGCATCACAGCCAGTTGAAAGTCAGGCACCATTCAAGCAACATGGAATCTACCAAAATCGAGACCATAACAATCATAAAGTTCATGGTGAAACTTGGTAGGGAGAATAGGCAAATCATTGACGCTCTGAAAATGGTGATAATGCCCAAAAGAAGTTAACAACCTACAAATGGATAAGTCGCTTCAGAAGTGAAAAAAAAAAAAAGTTGAAGATGAGCCCCGCAGTGGCAGGCCAACAGTTTCAGTTTGTGAGGAAAACATTGATGCCGTTCATGACTTGATTTAAAAGGATAGATGAATAACTGCTGAATTGGCAGCAGATACACTCAGCATCATCGTGGGTTCTGCACACACAATTCTTGTGGAGAGTTTGGGACAAAGCAAGCTTTCCGCTAGATGGATCCCTAGGCTGTTGCGCCCAGATCGGCAGCAAACGAGGGCAGATCTTTCTGTGGAAATTTTGAACGGGTGGGATGGGGCCTCCGAAGCTTTTCTTCAAAGAATTATGACGGGATGAAACATGACTCTACCAGTACGATCCCGAGGACAAAATTCAATCAAAACAGTGGCTGCCCCAGGGTAGAAGTTTACCAGTCAGCGCAAACGTTCAAGAGGAAAGGTCAAGGCCACTGTCTTCTGGGATGTAGAGGGGATTTTGCTAATTGACTTCCTTGAGAACAAGAAGATCTGCTTGTTATGAAGATGTTTTGCGAAAAGTGTCAAAAAATATCTCAGTAAAATACCCAGGAAAGCTGCATCAACACATCCTCTTCCACCACAACATGCACCCGCTCACAGTGCTTGGTAAACAAGAGCTGTGCTATGTGAATTTCGATGAGAAATCCAACAACCCCTTTACAGCCCTGAATTAGCCCCATCTGACTTCTTTTTGTTTTCAAAGTTGAGAAAATCATTGAAAGGTACCAATTTTCTGTCAGTTGAAGATGTAAATAGAGCTGCTTTGACATGGTTCAGATCCCAAGGCCCTCATTTTTCCTCAGATAGCCTTTAAGGGTTCATGTTTGAACATGTTATAACATGTTGGTGCAAGAATGTTCAGGTGCATTAAAATCAAAATCCTTACAAAATTTGTTTAGTTATGGACTTTTTCCACAAACTTTTTGAAGCCCCCTCGTATTCCCTCTCCACTCAAAGTAACTGCCAACCTCCATCTTCCTCCTACTCATGTTTCCCAAATACTCCTTCTTTCACTCCCTCCCAACACATCTCATTCCATCCTGCTTCAGCTGCATCCTCCTCCCTTTCTTCCCAATTATCCCTTCCACTTCCCCTAGAGACACATGTGACTCTTTCACAACAACCTCCTTCCTTGGATTCTCTCCCTCCAGACTTTTTTCCTGAAACAATGATCTCATTATCTTTAAACCCCCTTTCTCCTTTTGCTAATCCCTAGCTTATCCTACAAACATCCTTGCTGAATCCAACACTTCTCCCTTTGATAACTTTGATCTAATCACCCTTGTTAATCCCTACCTTACCCCATTTACCCTACCCATGCCCCACTTGCCTCCTTTCAATGCCATACTATCCTGAACTGCTATATGACTTTTGATGTTTAGCACAGTTAATCATTAAATAACCCCTTTTTACCCTTTTCACTACTTCTTTCAAGAGGTTATATGACCTATGATGGCAAGCACATTTATTTTGCTTTATAACTATTAACCACTATAGTTAGTTACAGTTACAGTTGCAGATATTTACTTTCATTGCCATCATTATCGTCATTGTTATCAGTGCCATTTATATAGTATCATTATTATTATCATTGTCATCACGATTTTTACCATTATTATCTTTGTTATTGTTATTAACATAATTACTTTTATTATTATTATTATTATTAGCAAAGCAATACACACTTTCAAAGATATTCCTATAATCACAATAATGATCATGATAAATGATAATCATCACTATCTTTATCATCATCATCACTATCATCACCATCATTATCATCATCATCATCATCACCACCACCACCACCACCATCATCATCATCATCATCATCATCATCATCATCATCATCATCATCATCATCATCATCATCATCATCATCATCATCATCATCATCATCATCATCATCATCATCAATCATCATCATCAATCATCATCAATCATCATCAATCATCATCAATCATCATCATCATCATCATCTGTGATAATGATGTTAATAGAGATCTTGATGATAATCATGGGGATAATGTTGATGATAATGATGATGTGATGATAAAGTAAGGATAAGAATAAAGATAGTGATGATTATCATTTATCATGATCATTATTGTGATTATAGGAATATCTTTGAAAGTGTGTATTGCTATGCGTTTCCCCTCATCTGACCAATATGCTTTGTATCTTCAGAAAAGGAGGAAATTGAGAAGGTCAACAATGGAGCAGAAGAAGGTGAAGATGTCACAGAGACACATGTCTTTGCACAGGCTGTCACGTTTGTGGAGAAGAATGATGAGCTAGTACACAACATGAGGCGTTTGGATGAGGCCAGAGAAAAGTTGGAGGACGTCAGCAGCAGCTTAGAGAAGACAGTGGCTAAAGTGAAAGAACAGGCGCTGGTGGCCATGGATGGATACTGAAGGGCTTGTGTGAAGGAATATGGTGTTTAGATAGATACGGTACAATTAAAGGTGGAGTTTGAGACTTTTTTTCTTTATGTATTTAAAAAAATGCATTTCAGAGCTTGTTTATTCTGTTATGCCATGGTATATTGAATTTATATGGACAAAATGAGGCAGTTAGATAGATACTATTTATGTTTTTGTATAATGTTTGCAGTGCAAAACATTGTTTTTGTTTATTTATAATAAAAGATATATTTTCAATCTTGTCTTGATTCTTGTAGACACCAAACAATTATACTTATGAGTAAGGAATAGCAACAAGGACACCAAGAAATCATCACCTAATATGTACTGGAAGATTCAAAAATAGTTCAGCTGGTAATTTCCCCACAATTGTGAGCTATATGCTTTGTCTGTAGGAGTGGTTTTTGACTTGTGAAATTCAGTTGATGGGAAAAATGAAGACCAATCAAGATTCAGTATTATACTTTTAATTTTAATGCATTAGACGTGTACTGTTAGACCTGACATATGCCTAAAGGCATATGTCAGGTCTTTTTTCAATTCAACAGCCAGTTTGTGAAATGATCCGGCATTTAGAGCTACCTTGTCATCGATTTCCCTACTTGCTGGTCACACTGGATGAATAGAATCATCACATGTGCTCAATTTCAACAACAAACATGGCATCTTCGCAATTATTTTCCCATCTGCAGTAGCAATGGATATTCAACAGTTACAAAATCGGCATATGTGGGTTTGTGTTTGTAGATAAGAAATAGTAGAACTTTATACCATAATCTGCTGCAAGAACTTCATTTGGAGGAAGAAGGAGTAGAAATAGTTTTTGTGAATTAACCCCAAGCTGCCGGGCATGGCATGTATGTACATGCCATTACCCATTGTGTGTGTTGAATTTAGTAATTGTTTTTACATATAGATGGCTCCACAAGTACTGTCAGTAATTACCCAATTATGCAAACTACCTGTCTAACCTGTTTATCCTTTTCCTTGATTTTTGATAATATTTTCTAATATTCAATATTACTGTTAGTAATGTCAGTCACAATATAGTAATCGTAATGTTTATAACAAAAATAACAATGTCAATATTGATGGCATAAGTAAAAAAAAAAGCTTTTCCCACTTTTTCAAGGAAAAGTGAAGTCACAAGATCTACTAATTGACTCCTTTGTGGCTAAGCACTCGCAGAGCTATCTATGTGTAGAAACATTTAACCAAGCATTGCGATAGGGGACGCACCATTTTTCTGTCGACATTGGGTTAAATCAATTAGTGATACCTCTCATTTGCAAAAGTGACATATGAGAAAGGTAGTAACTCCAGGTAAGAAATAACCTTGGAAGTGTCCTCCGAACTTATCTTTTATTATTTTATGTCAAGATTTGTTCAATATCTGGCTATAAATTAAAACATAAGGACTTCTGTGATGAGCTGTAAAATTCTTGGGTCACGATGAATATGAAACACACACTCAGAGAAAGAGAGAGAAGAGAGGGAGGAGAGAAAGAGAGAGAGAGGGAGGAGAGAAAGAGAGAGAGAAAGGGAGGAGAGAAAGAGAGAGAGAGAGGGAGGAGAGAAAGAGAGAGAGAGAGGGAGGAGAGAAAGAGAGAGAGAGAGGGAGGAGAGAAAGAGAGAGAGAGAGGGAGGAGAGAAAGAGAGAGAGAGAGGGGAGGAGAGAAAGAGAGAGAGAGAGGGAGGAGAGAAAGAGAGAGAGGGAGGATGGAGAGAAAGAGAGAGAGAGAGGGAGGAAGAGAAAGAGAGAGAGAGAGAGAGAGAGAGAGAGAGAGAAGAGAGAGAGAGAGAGAGAGAGAGAGGAGAGAGAGAGAGAGAGAGAGAGAAGAGAGAGAGAGAGAGAGAGAGAGAGAGAGAGGAGAGAGAGGGAGGAAGGAGAAGAAAGAGAGAGAGAGAAAGGAAGAGAGAGAGGGAGGAGAAGAGAGAAGAGAGAGGAGAGAGGAGGAAGGAGAGAAAGAGGGAGGAGAGAAAGAGAGGGAGGAGAGAAAGAGAGGGAGGAGAGAAAGAGAGGGGAGAGAGAAAGAGAGAGAGAGAGGGAGGAGAGAAAGAGAGAG